ATAACCCCGGATAGTGGAACACAGAACTCACATTGGTAACATAATTTGAGTACGGTGGCAGCTACTGAATACTTTTAGAACTGCTTATTCTGGCCATTATCCCATCCATGATTAGCATAATCAGACTGAGGTTGATCTGGAATTGTTCAACGACGCATGGTATTATTTTTATCCACTAGGGGTCACCATGCGCACGTTCTACACTGTAGTATCTGTGACTATGAATGTCTGTGGCTTTAAAAGGCAGGGCTTGCCCTGGTGAGGCAGTTACTGAATGTTGCCCCCCGGGTGTTAGCTGTGGCTATGCAGCTGATGTAAAAATGCTCTTATTACGTGTTTGTTTTGTTACCGTTTGTTCAGTAAACTGATTGATAGTACATTGGCGGCGATGCCTATCCTTGGCCGACTGTGGGAGCATCACAATATGTTCTATGTAGCGGTGGTGGGCTATTCTGAATAAGCTAACGGAGTTTAGCAATAGAAGTGATTTTGTGTAAGCTAGTTCTGCTTTGCAGTAGAAACATTACACATAGAGCACATTTGACAATAAACTTGTACTTGACGTGATTAAACGTTTAAAGTGTCAAATGATGCCAAACTTTGGACATTCTGTGTTTGACGCATTCTTTCCTTCTGGCGCGGTGCCACTGCACCCAACCTATTTCTACGTGAGACTGCAGTACCATTAGTTTGTGTGGAAAAATGATCACTGCGAAGCTTCAAGGCAGCGATTTGGCTTGCCTTGGAGGAGACAAAGGTGCGCCCGTTGATTTTTGACAGATTCAACTTTATTCAGAGCCCACTTTTTTGGTGCTAATGTGGGCTTTTGGAAAGGCAACAAAAGTATGTGTACCTTCACAGGAAATTGTTTAACTCTGATTATGGCTTTAAAAAGCGAAACTAAATGCAAAACAAAAACATAAAAATGCAATTGAATTCGACGTAGAGTCGCCAGGAAAATGTCAGACTGTTGTTTTGTGGTGTGCTGGACGAAAATGAATGATAAAAAGATCTGCTGATCCACTTTACAGTGTCTGCTAGATAGCTAAAATTTTATTTTGCTTGTTAAGTTTTATTACAAATAATACAGGCTCTATTTGTTGCTCTTTGTTTGTTTAGTACAAGAGTGTGAGAAGACAGAGGAGGTCATAAATGAACATCGGAAAAAGAGTTTGCGTGAATGCAGGGGTTTTCAAACTTTTGGAGTCATGTTTACGTTGAAATTTTCAAAACATTCATCATTCTAATTTTGAAAATTAATAGCAAATCAATTCTCATTTCTATTTCAAATGAATTATATTAAAATCCATCATCGCTGCTTCCACGAACAACAGGGCTGCAAACAGAGGAGCAACTGGTCATTTCCCAAACCACAATCAGTGGGGCCAATTTTGAAATTTGATCGCTATGTTTAGCGCCATCTTCCACCCGCTCTAAAAAAAAAAAAATAAACAATAATAATAATAATAATAATAATAATAATAATACGTGACAGCAACTTTAATGTGCAGACATGAGGAGAATCATTTTCACATTGGAAGGCAATCCTAAAATCAGTCACACTCGAAATTGCCAGAGGCATGGTGCTCATCATCACATGTTGGAGAAGCAACAATTTATTGATATGTTGGGAAACTTTTGGTCGGTGCTTCCAAGATTTACATGTCCAAGTTACTGCTGGCAGAACCTGCATGGTCCCCGGATCCCAGGTTATGAAACGACCCCGTAGTTTTTTTTTTTTTCCAATGAAAACAACATTGCCGAGACAGACTTTAATGAGTCAAGTTAAGGCTGGAAAAAAGAAAAAAATATATTTGTGTTTGTCTAATGTGAGAATAATCAGTTCAGGATTATTTTCAGCTTCCTGCTCCAGGCACATTTCCACGCCTTTTGCTTTTTTTTTTTTAAAAACTGATTGCTTTTAATGGCCCCTCCTCAGCCTGCCACGAAGACCTGGTTGGCTCGTTAAGTTTTCTCATTGTTATGCAGCTTCAATTAAATTAATTTAGCTGGAAGAGTATATACAGAGAGCTGTCCGTGGTGTAAAACGGTATGCCTGCGTGTTAAATAAGGCCCAGTCATCTAAAGCCGAGCAAAGCCACGCGGATGGTGGCTCGTAACCAGAGGAGGTGCTGATCAAGTGTTCTTCGTTGTGTATAGTAAAGCCTTAGCCCGTGGCCTGTGGGCGGACGTGCTTATCTGCGAGGTTCGTTGACTTACAATGCTTAGAAACAGTGATTCCCAACTGTTGGGTTGGGACCCAAGATTGGGTTGCAGACCCCTTATGTGTGCACGGCGGACAGGTAGTAAAATATTCCAGGGTTCCTCCTTGGTTTGAGTGACATCCGATGTTTTGATGTTACAAAGGTGTGCAATGAATTCGTTTGTGCAGTGGCGTAATTAATACATGGCCATAAGACACAACGAGGCACGCTACGATCTTGCCGTATTCACTATTTTTCATTGGATTCTTTTGTAGTTATGGCCTGCAACTTTTTTTTTCATACCAATATTTACTGCATAGGTTATGACTTTACTGCTGCATTCATAGGTTTAGTGGTAAACTACGGCACATTGCTCGGTCCGCCATGGGAATGGATCCCCATCATAAACTGAGGTCCCCCTGTACAGTTAGACATTAATTAAACATGACTCCCAAGCCGGCGGCCCGGTGGTTAGCCTGTCGACCTCACAGTGCAGAGGTAGCGGGTTTGATTCCAGCTCCGGCCTCCTTGTGTGGAGTTTGCATGTTCTCCCCCGTGCCTGCGTGGGTTTTCTCCGGGTACTCCGGTTTCCTCCCACATTCCAAAAACATGCATGGCAGGTTGATTGAACACTCTAAATTGTCCCTGGGTGTGAGTGTGAGCGCGGATGGTTGTTCGTCACTGTGTGTCCTGTGATTGACTGGCAACCGGTTCAGGGTGTCCCCCGCCTACTGCCCGAAGACAGCTGGGATAGGCTCGTCGCACCCTCCGTGACCCTTGTGAGGAAACGGATGGGTGGATGGAGTTAGTTATGACTTTACTGCTGCGTTTAATAGGGTTAGTAGTAAACTACGGCACATTGCTCAATCCGCCATAGGAATGGACCGCCATCATAAACTGAGGTCCGCCTGTCCAGTTAGACATGAATTAAACATGACTCCCAAGCCGGATTTCCATTTTATTGGGAAAACAACACTATGCTGACAGTCATGCATCAGAAAGGTAATTACTTGGGGTGGAACAGTAGATGCATTCATATCTCATGCATCTCTGTACCATATTGAGTTTCTACATGAATCATATTACGTGAGAAACTTCCCTAAAAAGAAAAGATCAGCGCCGAAACAAATTTGTAGCCGCAAAGTCGACATCCCTTTTCAGATGCCAGGTTTTTGTGATAAAAAGTGAGACCAATTTAAATCAGGAAAAAATAAAATAAAAATCTAGCACGACTGTGACCTATAACCTCTATGACTATTGAAAAAATGTCGGGAGCGCAAGGAAAAAAATAGACTGACGTCATGTAGCTGCACAGGTGTGTGAACCCTCTTATAACTCGGGCTCTGACTATGTTTAGAATTAACCAATCGCATTTAAAATTCGGCTAAATGGAATCAAGCACACACCTGCCACCAATTTAAAGTGTCTCTGATAAGCGCCAAATAAAGTTGAGCTCCTCCGGGAAGCTTTTCCTGACAGTTTTGTAATCATATCTTAAAGCACAAGCTGTGGCCCATAGGGACCTTCCACAGCATCAGGGGATATTGTTCAAAGGTGTCAGTCAGGAGAAAGGCAGAAAATAATTTCCAAGGCATGAAATATACAGTGGAACACAGTGAAGACAGTTACCATCAAGTGGAGAAAAATATGGCACAACAGGGAGTAAATAACAACAAACAGCCAAGTGTTTGGAAAAAAAGTCAGAAAAAGCCTACTAGAACATCAAAACTTAATTTGGCATTCATCAGAAGCAGTTTTAAACCCTGGAGAACCCACGGGGTCAAATTTGGCCCCTATAAATTCTACTACTCAAATGCTACCCTTAAATCCCAAAGGGTCAAATTTGGCCCTAATCCTAAATTAAGATTAAAGCATTGAATATTTGAAAAAACATATATTTTGGTGTTCAGTGAACATATAGCAGTCATTTAATGTATAATTCATCATTTTCCAAAGAAGAAAAAGGTTCTTGGGTTCTCCAGGGTTAAATGGCTGCTAGGTGTGTTGATTAATTGCAAACACAGCCCAAACCCCAGTTATAAGAGGGTGTGCATACTTGTGCAACCACATTATCTCAGTGGGTTATCTTGACTTCCATCAATCCATTCATTTTTTGATCCGTTTTATCCTCACAAGGGTTGCGGGGGGGTGCTGGAGCCAATCCCAGCCATCTTCGGGGCAGTAGGTGGGGGACACCCTGAACCGGTTGCCAGCCAATCGCAGGGCACACAGAGACAAACAACCATCCACACTCACACTTACGAACAATTTAAAAGGGGGAGTACCCGGAGAAAACCCACGCAGGCACGGGGATAACTTGCCAACTCCACACAGGAAGGACGGAGCCAGGATCAAACCCACGACCTCTACACTGTGAGGTCAATGCGCTAACCACTGGATCACCGGGCCGCTTATCTTGACTTCATTTTTCGACTTTTTTTTTTTTTTTTTTTTATTGAGTTGTACAGGTTATAAATAGGTCACAACGATGGTGGAAAAAGTTTGGAAAATATTTATCTTGATCTCACAAAAAGACCTTTCAACAGGGGTGTGCCGACTTTTTATATCCACTGTATGTTCATTTGTGTTATCGCGTTCATCTTATTAAGGGACATTTTGAACAGATAAGCATATGTCATTTATGTGTTGTCAAAGGCTATTTTTCGAGCGATACATTATTTTTTTCCTGTACTTGACTAAAGGGAGTCGTATCAAGAGGAACCACTCGTTTAAAAGACACAAGCTGAATCTGTAGGAAAAGTAGGGGGTGAAAAAAAAAAAAAAAAGCATACTCACGAACACATAAGTCTCCACTCTCAAAATAACCAGGGCAACACTGTGAGCGCCGCCTATACATGGTCCTCACTCCCCGCCGGTAAGCTGTCTTATAGCTGATCCTGAGGAAACAAGACACAGCGAGACGGATGTGCCATGTCCAGTATGTGGGACCACTCCAGAGGGGCAGGCAGACAAACACGGGAATGTGTATAATGTAGAAAAGGAGTCATGAGAAGTCAAAGTCAGCGAAGCGCAACGTCTCCCTTGAAGCTATTCACTGCATGCAGTGTTCACAGTCGCAAAGTAGACAGCCAACATTGGACAAAAGAACATCGAGGGGAAAAAAAAAAAAATCTAACATCCCCTCCACCCCGTTTATCTTAACCCTCTTAAATTCGAATAAAATCACCAAGAATCTTGCTCTGACAAGGACAAATTAACCATCATCAATTGGGCTTTTATTTCAATTACCTTGGGTGAGATATCCTCCAAAACAGCCTTTCCTTAATTTACCTTAGTGACCCGAAACAAGTCCTATGTGAAGTTTTATTGGGTTGCAGGTTGTCAGAGTAAAAGGCTATAAGCTATTTTATTGATCAAACAGAAACACTGTTTTGGGGCGTTTTTGTTGTTTTTCAATTCAGGCTTGTTGCAATAGATTCACATCAATTGACTTATTTCTCATGACTTGATCTGGGCAGTACTATTTCAAAGGTAAAGCCCACACACATTTTCATTTAATAGCATGGGAAAGGGTTTGAGTGGCAATGCACACGGGGATGGGTTGCCAATGAATGATGTCAGTGTCATCACGGTTTATTTGGTTGAACAGCGATTACAGTATGAATACGTAAAGCTGGTGATGAACACAAAAAGCCTCCATTTTTTTGTGTAGAATTATTAATATACATACTGTACAGTACTCTCTTTGTCCACCACTACATTTGTTGCCATTTCGATAGTAGAGAGTCGGACAGATGCAGTTAAATGGCAAAACAGCCTTTGCACAACACTTTATAGTGTGTTGTTGCAGCGTCAAGGAAAACTTGTGAAAAATTTGGTGAGGATCTAGATAGCGAGGTTTGGATATTTATTTATTTATTTTTTAGTTGTCAGTAAACTAGAACTAGCCAATTTACATTTTAAAAAAAATTTGAATCGGATGAGAAAACATTTTCAAACGTACCTGTGCTTTGTGCACTTGAACCAGTTCAGGATGTCTGTGCACCTGGTGTAGTAAATCTGGTCAAATGGGTGAGCATAAGACTCCTGGACGGTGACAGCATAGCTAAAAAGAGCCAAACGTAGAGACATTAGTTGACCCGCGGTAAAGGCGGCTTGTCGCTTTGCAAGAAAAATATCAGGACTAAAAGGTCCTGTGAGTGCTCAGCTGCAACGAAAGCTGTGCAATCAGGGACTTAGAGGACCTTTTTGGTGATTCATGCTATTGATGCATGCGGCAAAGGAAGCAGGTGGATATTGGCGGACCACAAAGTCATGAACAAAGCCCACTTATGGGATTCATATCAATGCCAACAAGGTGGAACCGCAATCCTAAGTACCCTCACCTTGGTCAGGCAATAATCCAGGTCATATATCTTCACAGTTTTCTTTCCTCCCCCTCACGAGGGCAGAAATTATTTCATCTTATTTCTCACAAGTGACACAACCCGGTGCAGCTTATAATTATTCCGGCTCTGTTGGCGGCTGTGATTGATTGGGACAAGAGTAGCCTGATCAATTTGCCTGCGTATTTCATTTGATGCTGCAACTCCTCCCATCCCTCACCGCGCCGCGACTCAGGCTGCGCCAGATCGATACGGCTGTAATGGCCCAGAATGGAAGTGAGACTTTGGTGGAGAGAGCCTGTTTCACTAAAGATGCTGCAGCCTCAACAAGCTTGTGGTGCTCTTTTTTTTCATATTCAGATATTCATATTTTTTTTTTTTTTAACAGGAAGGAAATATGCTGACCTTTCCCAGTGGCTGCAGACATTGGGGTCATCGGGGTTAAGAGTCCACACGTGAGCCGTCCAGCCCAAAATGAGGAGAAGGGTCGACAGAACAACAAGTGACCCCATCACTCGATCTGAAACAAGCATGATTTGGATTCACATTAGTTTAATTCAGCAAGCATCACAGGATTAAAAATAGGTGTTTTGATTTTTTTTTTTTTCTTTTTGCAACATGAATTCTAAAGGGAAAACTGTGAGGCCGTGGCACCGTAGAATATACATGAAGCCAAGTTGTTTTGTTGATTTTACGTTTTTAGGCTCATAGGAAAGTTAATGAAAAACTTGTCTTAACATTTACTAAAAGATTTGTGGTGATGACATTAGTATTTTTTCCTATACTTTGAAAGATGAACAAATAGTAGGTGGACCAGGGTCCCGGACTAGATAGTGATTGACCTTTTGATTGTGCTAATAGAATCAGTTAGCCGTGACATGACATTTTGAAAGACAATCGTTTTATCTCAACCAAGGGTGGGCAAACTTTGCGGAGTAAAAATTTGACTTTTTTTGTTTTTTTTTGTCAGAATAATAATTCATTCTTATTTTCTATGGTATTGTTTAGAAGTAATTACACTATAATGTATTTATTTTATTATACACAAATTCTTTGTAAACATACAAATGCACCTGTACAAATCAATTGACCAATTATTTAATCCATTTTGATGAACATGGGAAAAAAAATTGCAAAAGGAACTGCAGAGCCTGCGGAAATGCACTCTTCGCCACGTTTCACTTCGGCCACTTGGTGTTGCATATTAACAGTAGACTTCTGCAGATTTTGTTTGACCGTCTAGAACAAAAAAACTACGAAATGAAAACAATCTGTTGAACAAAATGTTTGTTTGACATTAATCACACCTTTGCCAAGGCACTAAATCATCTTCACCTGAGAAATCAGTGCTGGAACATGCGCACTCTGGCATCATTCGAGCTAAAAAAGGAGGAAACTGGGGAACATGCGTAATGACATCCTACTTTTCGTGCAGCAGTTTACAACCTGTTTGAAGAGACTTGACAGTGACGTTGCGTCTGAACATGCTCAAAGACATTAGACAGCGTATCACCCTGAATACGCATCAGATAAGACGGATGCTTCCACGGATGTTTTCATTTCCTCCTCTTAAAGTTTACAGAATTATTTTCATTCGCGGGATACAACCCGAGACACAACAAAGCAGCGGTAATTCCCCCCAAACAGTTCCTGATGGAATACATCTTTCCTCCAGATGCAACGTCGCCGTGCTTTGTCTCCTTCGGAGAGACCTTCGACCTTCAACGGTGACAGTGACAGAGACGGTGATTTGTTGAGACCCGCAGCTTATTTCATTAGACGTACACGCACGGGGAGATAACGTACGATGGGAGGGGAGTGACAGTGATGAATCTCCTCCTTCCGCAGGTCTTATTCAAGCAAATGGGGACTACCTATAAAGAATGAGCGTGCACAGCATGGCATAGGTTAATACCTGCGTGCTATTAGCCATAATAGCGCTAAACCGACATCCGGCTTGGAGAGAACGACCGCATTAGAAGCAACTAGCACTTGGAATACAAAAGAAGTCTGACACCCGTGCTGTCATTATAAGGCTCCCGTCTCTGGAGAATAACCGTGCGGACGTATAGTTTTACGCGTGTCCCGCTTCAGCGCCTGATATGAATTGAGCTCAACAATCCGAGCGACCGTATTCGATGACGTCAGCGTTCGCATGTTCGGCTAATCTTCTGCATTGATTGGCGCATGTAGTTCACTCACAAGTGAGGGGAAATCAATCGGAGCTTCACTTGCTCTGAGTAGGAGTCCATCCGAGCAGCCAGAGGTTACTGTCATGTTCATTTCCTTAACAGGATGATTAATCAAGGTGCACGCACGCCTGTTACAAGAGACAGCTGCTTTTATATTCCGGACCATCCTCTGAAATAATCGAGTTAAGCACAAGAGGGGCATTTCTTGATTGACAAGAACGTTTTTACTGCTCCGGTGATGAGACCACTCACCGTCAAATGTTCTGGATGAGTGGACGGGCACATCACCTGTCATCTTATATTTGGCTGACCTCACAAGTGGTGGGAGGCCACAGGAGCTCTTACATGAAGTGTCAATGTCCCGAATCTCTTTTTTTTTTTTGCAGACACGCTTGCGGTTGGCGGTGTGAAACCTCCTGCTAAGAGTTTTGGAGGTATCAGAAATCACACTTTTGTTTTTGTGAGTGTCATCTAAAATGATGTGAATGTTAAAAATCTGACACGCCTATCCAAGTCGGGAGTTGAGATGTTGAGGGAGGGGAATAAAAATCAATAGGTGGAAGGATTGTCGAGAGCGCGGTCAATTAAGTGGAACTGATGTTGAGGGAGTTAAATACAATATGTCATAGCGATATGGGAAAACAAGAGTTTCCTAAAAATCAATTGGAAAAGAATAAAGCAACAAATAAGTCTTTTATTTTGTTACTATTATTACGGTTCAATCTTCATCCTTGGACGATTCCATCAAAACTCGTTGGAACCAACCACCTTTGAATGACATCATTAATCATCGTAACGATTAGAGAACATTTAATATCTCTTATCTCTTTTTTTTTTCTTGTCTGAATTCTCAGTTGTTTATTTCCTCTGTGTAAGCATCGTGTGACACAAACATTTGATCCAAATCCAATCTTGATTGTGCATTTGGCAGGAATATTAACGTCCTCCATCCATCCTTTCTCCGAGCCGCATATCCTCACGAGGCTCGCGGGCATATTCATGTCAATCTAAAATAAATTTAACATGACAAGTTATTTTCTATTTGTTATAATATTAATACGCTTGACAGGTAACGTTTCATTCGGATGCCAAATATGTGTATTGCTTGATTGGGATGAGGGTGAAAATTGATGAATCAAGAAAGTGATCGTCCAGAATTCTGTGGATTGTGTTAAATTGATAGAATAACGTCTTGAAGTGATCGAGGTAAAACTGAGTGGACCACTTGGCTGCAACCGGAAGAAGTACTGTCGATTTAGTGTGGACATCAGTAGATGGCAGTCAAAAAAAAAAAAAGAACAACACGTCAGCTCGGGGTTTCATCCACGCAGGCATCAGCAATGCAACAACTCCTGAGAGCAGCTTTCTTCTGCTCGGTACATTAATAACATGGAAAGAGGAGTTCAGAACATCCGGAGATTGGTTCTACTCTCTATCCATCCATCATCTATAATGCTTATCCTTGTGAGTGAGTTGGGTTGGCTGACTTTGGCAAGAGGCGGGAAACACCTTGGACTGGTTGCCAGCCCATCACAGAGCACACCAGCAACCATTCACACCTCTGAACAGTTTAGTGTCATCAGTTTTCGGAACGTGAGAGGAGGCCTCGATTCAAACACGAAACTTCAGAACAGTGAGGCAAACATGTTACCCACGAGTGCACCTCGCTGGCCCTATTTGTCATCTTATTAAAAAATAAATAAAATAAATAAGATTCAATATATTGTCCCCACATTGTTGAAAATGCAGTCGTGCACATCCCGAGTTGGAATTTTTCCAGGGATGTGCCAATTAATTTTTACAGAGAATATGGACACTGAGGCGCTGTGCTGCCTAATGCCATTGTTTGTCAAACAATGTCAGTTATCAGCATTTATTGTTCCTTAAAATGGTTTCAACTAGTACAGATGTGTGTATGCATTCTACTTTTGCTATTTTTGTCATTTAAATGTTCAATTGTTTATCTATCTATCAATCTATCTGCATTGTGTATATTTTTTAGCTCCAATTTGGATTAGTGCCGCCCCACATGATTCAGGTTTCTGGGTTCAAGTCTCGCCTGGTGTGGAATTTGAATGTTCTCCCCGTTCTCGTGTGGGTTTCCTCCCACATTCCAAAAACATGCATGTAAGCTTCATTGAAAACTCTAAATTCAATTGAAAGTGAATGTGAGTGGTCATATTTGTCGGTATGCGCAAGTGAGCGCTTCAGAGAAAAATCGATGGATGAATGGATGGATTCATAATGGGCCCTCCCCCCCGAAAAAAAACATGAAAAAACCCTCGATTCGTATCTGGGGATTAAATATCTACTGATCGGCATATTTTTTCATATTTTGTTCCAAAGATATTACGGATATGGGTGAAAGTTTGGCTCGTGAGACGATAGTTGATTTGGCAGGTGAAAAAGCATTAAAACTTGGCGGAGGTTTCCGAGTGTGTGTGTTAAGAACGGTAGCTACGCGCAAAGTGATGGGAGCCCTTGAAGATAGAGACAATAACACATCAGCTAATAGCGTGAAGAACGTGACCTAACACTCACCTAGTAGTAACACTTGTGCGGATGCTGAGGAGCAGACGGGGGGGAGGGCGGGAGGCTCTTTGTGTTGTGTTCAGATGCACACACTCTGGGAGAAGTGATGACAGGTCACAGATCTGTTGGCAAGAAGAAAACTAATGAGCTTATGATGACACTCAGACGACACGCGCGCGCGCACACATGCGCACGTGCCGCGCTCGCACACACAGACTCAAACATTTGTTACGGTTGTGAGAATCTCCACAGGGGTATAATTCACATAAGCTGCTCTTGAAAGGCCAATTTATTCAGTGCAGCCTGCACGTCCAATCACTGTTTTCATTTCATTTTACTATGTGCCTCCTACCTGGTTTTCAGCGCTTTGCGAAAGAAATAAAAGGCTGCATTAAGTCAAGAGGGGCAGCCACAATGAACTCCGTTCACACTTCAAACGCTTGCAACGCTGTGGGACCAAATGATGTGCTCTCATGAACAAAGCCTACACTGGGCTCATCGCACGGAACGGATACACGGCGTTTGTGTGTTTGTCATCACCCTTAAAAACGGACTGCTCTTAATGATTGCACCGTGAGGTCAGAGGGCACTTTTGCGATTCTTCAGAATCACAATGTGACTGCTTTGTCTCTTGGCCCGATGAATAATTCAGTGTCTTTCTTTTGCGCGAAGAGACACTCCATTGCCCTCCCTAATAAGCTCATTTAACATATCTTTGTCTCACTGACGACTTGCCTACAAAGGAAACGACTCCGTTAGAATACGATATGCAGTATATTTTCATCATCAATTCAAATTTTTACTGCTAGTGGAAAGAGTAAGAGGAGTGTTTTTTAGCTCATGTAAATGACCACATTTGAGTAAATCATGCTTTTTATTTAACAGCAATAAAATAGATTGAATTATTAATTCATAATGATACAATACAAAGTGAATAAATAATTTTTTTAAACTATTCATAACAAATATGATTTTATTGTGTACAATTTGTTATGCCATATCATACAATATAACATTAACCAGCCAATTTAATTTAAGGTGATAAAAGACAAGGATGATTTAAGAGGTTAGTTAGTTAGTTAGTTAGTTAGTTAGTTAGTTTCCAATGCCAAGACGACTGTCAATGCTCCCACACGCATTCGCTGTCATGGCATATCGACAAATAGGTTTCTGTGAGCTATTATAAATTTGCTTTAATACCATCAATGTAACCAAAAACACATTTGGATGCAATTTTGACTTTTCACCAACACAGGTACACTTTAATTTCATTTCAACTACAAGAAAAGTCATACAAAGTAATCTCACCACACAGAGCTTAGAGGTCGGTCTGGGTTGGTTTCTAATACTGTATATTGTTAGACCATTAGGTAGCTCACTAGTTAGACATAGATCTGACAGTCATCCACAAGGCAGTGCAACGACATACCATGTTTTGTTAAGATGGATCCCAAAGGCGCCAAATACAATGAAAATAGCAGGGGCCCCAAAATTGAACCCTTTGGAACACCAGACAGTGGGGCAACCAATGCTAACACAAAAAGTTCTGCCGGCCAAATAGGATCTGAAAACCACTTTATTTATTTTCTCTTATTTATGTGCTTTTTGTCTTCTACTTTCTCCTCTTCATAATTTTACTGCTGTAAATTGGGAATTTCTCCATTGTGAGACAAATAAAGGTTTCCTTATCTTATCTTCTTATCTTAATGCGCTTCCACTAATGCTCACCTGGTCCTGCAAATGAACCAAGACAATACTGTGGTCCACCGTATCAAACGCTACAGTCAGTTCTAACAAAACGAGACACACAGCCTCCAGTGTAAATTAGTCAGGAGGATGCCACTGACAACTTGTAAAAAGGCTGACGCTGTGCTGTGCATCATCTTCAAACCTGAATGACGTTTTGTTCATCCAAGAAAGATTTCAACTATCTGGGCACCAGATCGATAGAATGACAGATGGATGGATGGACTAATATTTAAATACAACCATATGCGCAAGTCATAGCTGTTGTGCCATGAGATTTCGTGCCATATTTTGTTGGCTCGGCCTCAACTTAGCATGGCTGCATCTAATGTCAATGCAACAGCTTGGTGACTAAATGTAAATGTCAAGGACAACTTTGCTTGAACAGCCCAAGTGCCATTTCTTTCAAGTTATTTGTTGTGTTTGAGCTAGAAGTGCAATGATTAACAGATAACAAACCGGCTACTAATCAATAATTATTTTTGATTGTTTTAAATCAGTTAGGTGTCCTTTTTTAATTTAAAATTGTCCAAATACTTGAAATTTCAACTTGTCAGCAGCAAATATTCGACCACGCTGCAGTAACAGTAAAAAGACAGACCTCGACTGTCTGCTGTCAATGAAATGGTGACAAAACGAGGAGTGGAGCCACTGGCGGCCATCTTGCGTTGCCACACACGCAGCTCCACTAACTCAAATACACTGATTTTTCCTGTTATTTTCGGAACCATCAACGTTCAAATGAAAGCAAAGTCCATCAGGAAAAAAAAATGCTGCAACCTGTACACCTAAACTCTCACAATCAACAGGGTCCAGTATTTGTCACTGTTTAACTGACTTCACTGGTCGTTGGGGTCTCGCACATGGTATCATTCTGGCTAGCACAGCCACTGCGCATGTATTTAAAAGAAATATTTAGATTCATCCTGAAGTTTTTACCCAAGAGAGGAATAGCCGAAACTGTGTGTATAAGTAGTTCACAAACTGCATATTGGTACAACTCGGCGGAGGCAGGCTGCATGTCGCTTGGTGCCGGCAAATGTAATTTTATTTGATACCTTCTGTTTTGATAAGCCGTAATGTAGCCTTTTGCTACACTTGTGATTTGGATTATAAATGGAAGCAAAACTAGTTACAGGAGCCCACACAATGCAGAACTGAACTGTTCAGTGTACGCAATGGAGTGACGCCACGTGCACTGTCAAGTGCAAGAAGACAAGCACCTGAGAGTTTCGACGATCCACCGTTGGACTTTCGCCTGCAGAGAGAACCCCCCCCCCCCCCCACAGCTCCACCATGTCTCTTACCATGCTTATCAGCAGAGACATCTGCATGATTAAAGCTGGGTGCCTTCAGAATGTGACTTATTAAAGTGCAATGCAATTAAGCGGCGTGTCCCCGAGCTGACCAGCCCCTCCACTCCTCCATGAATGCTGCTCAGCATACCGCGGTAAGAGGGCCACATCCTCTCTTTGGATCGTACATAATATCCTAGGTTCATCTCACTGCTGGTCGTTTATTTAAAATGTGCCTGTAGATAAGCAAGAAAGAAATCGTGCGCCGTTGCAATCTTGTGCGGAGCTACAGAGAGAATTCCTGATCAGCGAGGTGCTTTTGTGTGCATCGCGTCCTTTGTTCAATCGTCTAAATGTGAGCTGAGCGTCGACATACATTTTTTATGAGAATTCATCCTTGCTGCTAAATCTGTTTGCTAATCACCGCTGATGGATTTCCGAGCTGCTAGATTTGGATTGATCCAAAGGTTACAGGTGTAAGGAGGCAGCACATAGTGCCAATGAGATCACCAGGGCGAGCCAGCACTGTTGTGCATATGTGAGGTGGGGGGGATGTCATTAAGAGTCAGGGCTCATTAGCGAAGCTGTGGTGCTTCCCTTTGCATCAGCGGCATACCTGCATGTGTGTCTGATGTGTTAGAGGCTGGGAGGAGGCATCGACACGCAGCTCTGTCACAACTAAAGCAACGCAACTACAAAGTGAACTCTCGACTTCCTGCTCCCAGCTGTGAAAAAACACTGTTTATCGAAACACTTGTTTAATGGCTCGGCTGCTATTTTCTACATGTTCTGACTGAAATTTAAGCAGGGAATAATTCTAGTCGTTTACTGACGGCACATATCGCTTTGCTGAGGAGAATTTGATATTACAGAAAAAAAAATGGCCTGAATTGATTGAACCATGGGCTGACAAGCATTCATGCAAATAGGTCACAATGTTCGATAAAATGACACGGTAAAATGAACGTACATATGCAGTACCGGGAAAGTGTCTGTTGACCAAGATTCTATCTTCGGCCCAAATATGAGGTTAGATTCTAGTTAAGGTAAGCCATTTTAAACTAAAAAAGAAAAACTTTTCCGTTAACTCGAAGCGGAAGATTCGAATCCAACTTGTTTGCTTCCATCAACACGATTAGAGTTCAGGGATTTTGGTTATCAGTTAGTTTTAATACATGCAAGTCGCACCTGGGTAGAAGACACAGGAACAGTCAAACAATGAAAAAAAAGTGTGATTTAATACAGTACGTGGATGAGTTGTGACGGAGTGAAAGTCTGCATGGCTGTAGCTCAACTTCCGATAAATGTTATTCTGCTTTAGATCTAGAACACTTTGAGACTGACTCAACAGCATCTCTGCTGGATGCATCCAAGTAGTGCGCTCCGTTTTGCCTCCCATTTGACAGATTAAACAGCATCAGTCAATCAAAAATCAATTAAACCCATCATGAGTTGTTCCAGTCCGGGAATGGAAACGGACCAAAGGCTGCTGCTGACATTGTGGTTAACTTCAAAACATTCTATTTTTTTTTTTTTTTGTCTCCGTTAGTTTCTTTCACTCAGACAGCCTTCAAATCATTACCCGATTTAATATAATCCAACTTCAACTTCAAAGTCATTCATTATGTGCAATTTGGAGGTCGCCGAGAGAAGATTCCACCGCCTGCCATCAATAAGCGGCCTAATGAAAGTGCCATAAGACAACAGCACAACTTTCTTGACAGGGAGTCCGACTCGGGAGGCTCGAGGCTCCCGGGAAAATGCTGTGCGTCGTTTAACAGGAGCTTAATTCTGGCCGCATGGTTTATTCATGCGGCGAGCGCAGATATCACGACTCTCATAAATCACACAGCACGGTGTTGCTGGACATTGGCGCGAGGCGAGGCAGGGCTCACTAATCTCAACACCATCTTTCATGTGAATAACCTTGCCTCACTGCAGGGCAGGCCAACACGAGACGCAGCCCATTGGAGGAAGCCGTTCCTCATTTATTTTGTTTCGTTCACAGCAAAGGCTTCGTGAGGAGACAACCACCTTCCCGTTCGCTCTCGGGCAGATGTGGCTCAACTCTCAACCATGCG